CCAGGGAAACCACCGGACGTTTGTGGTCTTTCATAACTTCCAATCGCCAAATCATTGTTCGTATGATTACTAATGAGCTAACTTTGGGAAAAATTTATGTATGATATAGGGAGCAATATGTAAGCCTGGTGATCATGTCTTGATTTCATAAGTTTAGGATAATGATTTACTTTTTAAATCAGTTTTGATCATGTTCACTTAGTGCAAAACATTTTGTATATAAGTGGGTAATCTTATTATATTAAACGGCCCATGATTTCCCTGAAAAGTTATTCTGTCTTTTGATATCCGCTTATCGGGAATATTTTAAATCAGTAATCCAGATCTGTGAGAAGTCGCCACTCGGATGCATTAACTACAGCCATTTCAGCCGACCGTTCACAACAGACACAGTTCATAAAGTTATGCACACAATTTTGGTAATGCGTGAAATGGCAGGATAACTGAAAAATCTAACTTCTGGAGTCTTTTAGGGATACCTAGCAAAGTAGAAACAGAGATAGGACGTGTTTCGCTCCAAATCAAGAGTTCTTTGAAGAGAATAGGGGTCGATACCCTAAATTACTGTAGTTTTAATTCATACAGAAAACCGTTTGTCGATTAATATAATTCATAAGAGAATACTTGGAGATTCTATTGAAAATCTAGAGCAGAATCTGACTGGAAGTCAAAATGTGAAAAGTTTTGTATCTTATTAACCACTGGAAGTGCAACACCTCTCATAGCTGACCGTTGTAAAACGAGTTTTAATCCATTTTCTGTTAGAATACATCTGAAGATTCCCGGTTAACTACTGATTTTGTAGCTAGTAGTGTAATGATAAAGAGGTGAGTTTGAAAACAGTTCAGTTCATATTCTATTTCTGCAACATTACATTATAAGATTCAGATAATTTCTATATAAATATATTGCGAACCATTTCTTAAGTATTTAATTGAATGTAACAGTTATGAATAGTGAAATATCCATGACTGATTCAGAATCTCTGAAATACATCGATGTTTTAATTATCATACGCTTGGGTATTTCAGATTAATGATAGAGTTTCTCTACATAAAAATTAGCCAATAATAAAATAATTATTATTCAAAATATTGTGATTAGTATCAAATAGAAAATCGTAGAATTATAGAAATTACCGCGAACCGACATCAAAATTTTACTGAAACACTTTATCTTCCTCCATTCACGTGCAAGTAATTCATTAATCGGATGATAGTAATTCTGATTTAGAGGATTAATAGTGGTTATGCAGGCTCTGTTTGATGAAACCAACCCATCGAATTTTCGAAATACTACCTAATTATTTATGTCCGCAGGTTACACTTTACATTTATTGAAATCCTTTTGGCTTTCTTAACATTACGTGTGTCCTAGACTCCATTTCTGGTCACCATCAGTCTCTACTTATAATTACTGGCTCCTGTTATTGCAGTTTTCAGTCGGAATTTTCCCTTGAGTTTCATACACTCGCATAGTTATTCCTTCGGGTATAGGCTAACACAAACTGTTCGCGTCATAAGGAAATATAACTCGATGAAAAAAAACATATGAAGTGTCGAAAATCTTAAGCGTCTTCGAAATGAACATTTTCATTCAACAAAGATCATTGTTCTGGAATATACTTAATAAGCACTGGGAACAAGGGATCATCTAACTTGTAATAAGATGTAAGTAATCAATATGCTTCTTAACAAGTCAGTACATGTGTTGACGGCTCAAATATCTAGTATACCAAAGAATAATTACTAATTTTCTGACTATCCAACAGTCCGCTTACTGGGAGTTTGTAAAGTTCTAAACTCATACTACATCTATATCGTTGGTTTCATTAATTTTCTTCTCTCAACTATTTTTAGTCAAAAATCACGTATGTCCTTTAAACATCGATTAACAGTAGCTTGAATACAAAGTGTTCATAATACTAGCTAATAATAGATAAGGTTTTTCTGAGAACAGATGATCAAATAAAATCCTTTCCATACTTTCTTCGTAGCTTATACAAGGTCTGAATTCAATTTCTATTAAAAACATTTGACGCAATTCAGCATAAATGACGTGAACAAAATAAACAAGATACTAGTCGATAGACTAATGCTATGAGTGATGTGACTAAGTCTAGTACATATAAGTATACATATATATACTGCTTAAAAGTAGTATAAATGTTAAAGTAAAATTTCAAGGAGATATTTAATTTCCAAATAATACATTCTTTCTACTCTGACTTGAACTTAAGTTCTCCTCTAACGATGACAGATACTTCAGCCAATTCGGTCAAAGGGGTACGGTGAGAAAGTGGCATTTAATAGCCAAACTAAAACTATTGGCGGAGACCTTTACAGTGAACTTGGAATCATATCGAGTAGCTACCAACACAAATGCCCATCAGATAATATAGCCTCCTTCCAGCTACTCAATGAAGATAATGATTTTTCAGTCAACAAACCATATTTTATAAAACCCCATCGTCACTCTAAGGTTAGTAAGAAGTCCTTATCGGAGTCTAAAAGGATAGAAAACTACCACTTAATTATATTACATGAATCAATTATTGATTTAAAACCCTGAAACGACTCGAATTAATTAGTTCTTAGCGAAGCGTGTTTGTAACTAATCCACAGATATTAATATAGTGACTTCAAAATAAAATTGTCATATTATTGATTTTCCATATTTTATTGATAGCACTATTGAATAAAATGTAAAGTAATCAAGTAGATCATTCTGTGAACATGAATGCTCTTTTTATTCAATATGAGACATGAATCCAATCCATAAATTTCGCAACTTGACAATACAAGGGATAAATCCAATGACGCTCATATATAGCCGGACACTTTATGAAGTAATGGATAGTAATACGAAAACAAGAGTTATCGGGTGAATTGTAAGTCTAGAGCTCCTACCGAGTGTCTCCAACCACCAAAAATTGCATTAGAGTGAATTCTGAACAAGTTGATTTCTTCAGATTAAAAATTGAACAGGACACTAGGGTATTCCAATAACTTTCTGATTTCTTATCCTATCATCAGAGAACAAACCTATTTGAAGGCTGTAACTTAAATCAGTTTTTTTCAAATTTATCTTATTTCTCGTATTAATGTAGCTTGGATTTAAAAACTGATTGGTTAAATTTGTTTAGTTTGGGAGGCTGATGAATTATAGAACTAGTTTGTTCAGTGCATTACAAAACTGATTTTTTTTTAGTTCGGAGCTGTATTTACCTATTTATTGTCTTACACAATCAGCTTTGTGGATTATTTATTGTCAGCGTGGTACCTATCCATGCCATAAATTCACATATGAACGCTTGGACAAAACCCAACTAATTCTCTTTAGATATTTTAAATCCAAACAAACTCTTTTGTTTTGTTTACTTAATTAAAATTTATAGATTTTGAGTGGCATCACATAAAACGAAGGATTCTTCAATAGTTTACATGCTGTCACCTACTACTCGATAATACTTTGGGAAATTTTCTTAATGAAGAGATGATAACACTTACACACATTACGATGTAAAGCTTGTTAAGCGTGCTATTCTAATGAACGCTTATATTTTCTTCACAATATATATATGCAACAGGATGCAAACAAATGTAACACAAATATCAGATCCAATAAGAAACATTTGCTAAGTTCACAGGATTCAAGAGCACATCTCGATAGACAGCCTATTGATGAGCATTATCAGTCAGTCGTGAAATGGCAATTAAATAAATTAACTGTAGTTGAACTATGCATATTTTTATATGGATATTCAAAATGAAATTTTTGTATAGAAATAAAACTAGAACGGTCGAAAAGAAACCAAAAAGCCATAGACAGCTGTTTTGAATATCTGATAGTGAGTACCTGCGAGACGTAGTCAAGTAACTTCAGATTTCATATAGAACACGATACCACTAGTCCAGAAAATTTAACTAATCTTCAAGAACCATCAAGCTTAACAAGCCTAGCACTGAAACTGATCAGTTAAGTACACAAATAACTAGCTACATTAAAAGAAACCTCATAATGATGAGTTAAGCTTGATCTATGCTTATCAACACATTACACATGCTCCATTAATATCGATTTTGTTACACACTTTAGAGACAGGTGCATGAACCAATGCGACAACGATGGTAACGTATTAAAAATGAATACTTAGACGAATCAACAATCTTTTCTCTAATCACATAGAATTTTTTTGTTACATCATAAATTCTTACTTAACTCTTATTTTTCTCTATTGATTACATCACTACGCCTTTTTTCGACTCCCTTCTAAAGCAAAGATTTTATTTTACCTAACTGAGTTTTACTCGTTCTATTTTCATTTATCATTAGCGTTTGCTCATGAATTGACCACTTATCTCTGGCTCTTTGGTCTTCTGTTGCTATCACTGTTGTAGAATATTCATCTATTTGCAAAATTTTTGTTTAGTCCGTTACATTAAAGGGAAATATGTGAACGGCAGACACGGTGTTAATGATTGATAACGGGGATGGAGACCAATATAAAGTTTCTCTCGACTGCTGGCTAATCTTAACTATTAGGGACAACAACAATTCGTTTTTCGATAAAAGGGCTGAAGTTGACATCATTAAAACTGAGGTTATTATAAAAGTGAGACAAAAACTTGAACAAGATAAACTGGAAACATTAGCAGACAAAAAAGAACAATTAAAACACTATGGTCGAAATGTTGCAAATAAGATCGCAGTAGTATCCTTAGTAATCTTACAGGAGTGAAATCGTAAATCGTTTTGATAAAAGGAAAGAAACACATCATAAAATGAAATCGAATTAATGAATGGTATGTTGGCTAAATTACTCTAAAATAAAGCTACGCTACTATAAAAAAGAAAAAGATATACAATCAAGTAACCGTATAATGAAAAAAAGTTGGAGAAAATTTAGTAGTGACAGAAAGGTGGGAAATGTAGTATTTGAACCTCTGGTACGCTGCACTGAAATGATGAGGTTATTTCGTTCTTGAAAATTCTAATCCTCATGAGACCGCATCAGTGACACCAAGTGGCCAATCGTATACATCAGGCATAACTGGTAAATAATTTGGATCATACATCTTTTGAGACAAATACAGTTCAATATCCTTAGGTTGTGGTTCATAATGGCAAATACCTTTCGAGTAAGCATATTTTGCAACATGTACTGCTATAGCCAACGAAACATTGCGTATATCTCTTAACGGTGGGAATACACGACCAACATCCAGATCTTTTTCGTCGACTTGATCTGCTAAGCACTAAAATTTTTAGAAACGAAGAAATGAACAATAAAAAAGGCACGATCGAATTTCAAGCTATTTTTTTTCATTATTTCACTAAGTTGATATATATTATTTTTGCCTTTAATCACGAAGTTCATCCAATTCATCGGTGTTCTTTCTACTGTTTCTTTTTTCACTAGGGACTATCTTCATTTTATGATTTGAATGTTCTTTGAGTACACAGATGTAAAAAAACAGGATATTTTCCATAATGCCATTTACTTGAACATCATAAATGAGCTACTGAAGCTACTTGGAAAATGTGTGCAATACGACGAATCTAAAACATCTCTTCATTGTCAATTATGCGGAGCCAGGAATAAAAGACAGAGAAATAGATATAACATAACTCCCAAAAATACAGGAGAGTTATCAGTATAAAGGATGTGAAGATTGCTGAGTTTAAATTGAAATTATGAACCGATGAATGTTAAGCTACCACAGAGAACCTGGAAGCACTGGATGGCTGATTCTCCCCAGAATGGGACTCATCAACAGTGCGCATCCACGACCTCGCGCGCGGGACTCGAACCCAGGACTTGTGGTCTTGCACGCGCACGCCTAACCTCTAAACCACCGAGCTGGCATCCAACGGTGTTAATGTCTAACTTCAACTAGTCCACGATATTGCGCGACCGCCCTCCATTGTCTTCAGTGAGTAACTGCCTGACACCAGACACGTTTGAACTCCATTGATTATGGCTTCTCAATAGAACTCTAAGAATCAGTTCTCGGGGCTAAACACTAGAGAGAATGTGATAATTATTAGTATAGGGTTGTGGTGATTGTTGAGTTTTTATTGAGATCGTGAACCGACCAGTGTTAGACCATCGAGTTCTGTATGTAGGACCATAGAATTAGCGCTGCTGAGGAGTATCGTACTAGAACAAAACGGCCGTCCAGTGCTTCCAGGTGTTCACTGATAGTCTGACATTAAGTGGTTCATGATATCAATTAAAATACACGGAAAATGAAACATGCCAAAATAATAGCTACTTTCTCTAAGCAAAAGCTGACACCTATGAATACGAATTTGAATAGAAATGTAGAGATCTAAATTCACTTAGTATTGTTTACTTATTGGCATACGTTCATACTGTGCGTATTGCTTTGATACTGCCATAATTCACAAGCATTACAAGCAAAGATGGATTGAGGCTAGCAGTGGAACCCAGGATGCGCGTCTCGTCCTCTTTGGGACTCGTCAGCTGGATGTGCCTGCATTTCAAAGTTGATGTTCAACTCCGAGAGGCACATTAATTTGCTTAGAGAAATATCTAAACTAGATAGCTCTAACTTAGAATCCTGAAGGGAGACGGAAAAGAGGAAGAACACACTGTGTCGATAATTGAGAAAAGACAAGGATAGGATGAATGGCAACTGGAAAGGATTTCCAGGACAGGGTTGGATGGAGAATGCTGGTGGGCAACCTATGCTCCTACACGAAGGGTAACGGGCGTCAGTAAGTAGGTAAAAATGTGTGTGACGACACAGTTAGTCACATCCAAGGCTATTAGAACAAGTCAGTAAAACAAGATGCTTACTTCAGCAGCGATTACGAAAAGTTCTTGTAAAACTGGACGGATTTGACACAGTGTAATGGCCAGTCCCACACCGGGAAAAATGTAAGAATTATTACATTGACCGGGTTGGAAATGCACTTCTTTGCCAGAAACGTTAAGTAAAACATCATTGAAGGGTGAACCGCCAGCAAATACGCATCGACCCTTGAAAACCAAACAAATTCAAGTTAAATATACGTCACCCAGATACAGAAAATGTTTACGGTTAAAAAAATAAGTCGTTAACAATGAGATTGAAACTATCTGTTACAGGGATTTGTATATCTATTGCAAGGTGGGGATTCAGTGAGATTACACATCACTAATAAACAACATGAAAAATAAGAAAACTTGATTTTATAGCGATTATTCATAAATCCAGTTTACTTTGAGGTTAAACACATTGGCTCGACGACACAATTTCTTGAGGCATAAATATTAATAGTACTACTTTTGAGGAAAATTTCCATCTCCACTTCATCACTCTTGGATTTATTAGAGTGGAATGGAATTTAGAGATGTTTTTATACATACTGAATAATGTTTGGATCAAACAATTGGTGATGAGTTAAAATCATGCTATAAAGTTGAAGAGCTTAAGTCAAAAAGCTACTAAGTTTATCTAAACTAATAGCAACAATGAGAACATAAGCATCTAACTTCATAAATTTTTATTACGAATTAAATAAAGTGCTAAACAATCGATGAACTTCTGATAAAGTAATAATATGGGTGTATAGGTTATCTAACTATATGAAACGGATATAACTAACAAGTTGATGTTAATAAACTACAAATGCCTATAAGTTACAGAAAACATCTTCAGTTAATTATCTTTCGAGTGGCAGTTAATCAACAAAAAACTCAGTAAGTCTAAACACTCGGCTTTCAGATGATTGAAATAAGCATCACATGCCAAAGTTTAGGTAATAAACACGAAAAAGAGACACTATCAAAATAAAGCACAGATGTACGTTGACCCATGTTGGTGCACTAGATCATCAGAATCAGATACTCACGCCCGTTACCCTTGTGTAGGAGTGTAGTGAACAAGAACACGGGTGGGGACAATCGATTGTATTTAGCACAAAAATTACAGACTATCTCAATAAAATGTGAATACCATAAAGTCAATCGTCAATTTGCAAAATATCATTCAATCATATCAAACTGTACTGTTCCCGTTGCGAACACTAATCCATTGTCGCCCATTCCATTGTACATGCGTTTTCTTACAATTTCATTGTGCTCTTGCTCTTCCTTTCTTGATCTTCGCCATCTTCTGCTGCCGGACATTACGTTCTTTTAACGCACGTTATATACTACTTATATCAATATAAGTAGCTCACACCACACTCGTCCCCCCCTTAAAGCAGTCGTTCTTGTGGTAGTTCATGCTCGCCGTGCAACATTCTCCGTCTCTGCAGTCTGTGCCACGCTCTCCGTCGAGATGTCGAGTCTGCGGCGCGCTGACTTCCACAGCCCTGTCGACCTGCCGGGGCAACAACAACCAACATCCACCCGGCACCTGGGACGCTTGACACCCGCACTCCACCGGCCTGCTGAGCCATCTACATCCGATGTCCGCCCAGCAGCCGCGCGTCCCGACACTCCACTTCGTCGACAGCACCCGCCACAGCCAACGCAGCCCCGCCGGACACTTCACCAGACGCCACCTCTCCGCACCAGACTGCCCCAACTGGCACCTCAACTCCAGGCCCGCAACGGCGTCCGCAGAACAGCACACTCCTCCTCTCCTGGTTGGCAGCGACACCAAATGTAGTGAACAAGAACACGGGTGGGGACAATCGATTGTATTTAGCACAAAAATTACAGACTATCTCAATAAAATGTGAATACCATAAAGTCAATCGTCAATTTGCAAAATATCATTCAATCATATCAAACTGTACTGTTCCCGTTGCGAACACTAATCCATTGTCGCCCATTCCATTGTACATGCGTTTTCTTACAATTTCATTGTGCTCTTGCTCTTCCTTTCTTGATCTTCGCCATCTTCTGCTGCCGGACATTACGTTCTTTTAACGCACGTTATATACTACTTATATCAATATAAGTAGCTCACACCACAGGAGCATAGGTCGCCCACCAGCATTCTCAATCCAACCCTTTCCTGGAAATCCTTTCCAGTTGCCATTCATCTTATCCATGTCTGCTTCCGAGTCTCGGCACAGTGTGTTCTTTGACCTTCCACTTTCCCGTTTCCCTTCAGAATTCCAAGTTAGTGCTTGCTTCGTGATGCAGTTCGATGATTTTCTCAATGTGTTTCCTATTCACTTCCAGCGTCTTTTCATAATTTCCTCTTCCATTGGAAGCTGGTTTGTTGCCTCCCAAAGTAGGTTGTTGCTGATGAGATTCGGCCAACGAACATTGAGTATCTTGCGTAGAAAACTGTTTGTAAATACTTGTACATTTTCGATGATGTTGTGGTAGTTCTTCAAGTTTCAGATCTGTACAACAGAACTTTCTTGACGTTCGCATTAAAGATTCTGACTTTGATATTGGCTGACAGTTGTTTTGAGTTCCATATGTTCTTCAACTGTGGGAATGCTGCCCTTTACCAAACCATGCCGTTACGTCAACATCAGATCCTCCTTGTTCATCGATGATGCCGACCAGATACGTGAAAGTTTCCACCTCTTCCAAAGTCTCTTCATCAAGTGTGATTGAGTTGGCATTCTGTGTGTTGTATTTGAGGATTTTTGTTCTTCCCTTGTGTATGTTGAGGCCTACTGGTGCAGAGGCTTCTGCTGCACCAGCTGTCTTGACCCGCATTTGTTCGTGTGTAAAGGGGAAGAAGAGCTAGGTCATCTGAGAAGTCCAGATCGTCTAGTTGCATCCAGTCTATCATTAGTTGGTGCACAATATTCAATGTGATTCCCTTAGATTCGGCTCCTAAGCTCTTCTAGTAGCCCTCAGGCTAAATTAATACAGCGACCTGAACACGAGAGAAAAGGCGCAAAATATAGAAGAAACTCTTTACTTCAAAGTTCCGTTTATGTACAGAAAATCTAGGGTTTTTATAGCATTTTAGATGACCTTGGGTTTCCGGAAAATTCTGGAACGCTACTAAACACAGTAGCAGTATAGGTAGTTATCGGATCAGGAGCGCGACATGCGACCTTTCACTTTTTATGTGTTGCTGGCAAAACTTCTATTGATTGGATGAGATGTTTCTTAGTCTTTTCAGAGCCCTTTCTGGCTTTTTTTCGAGGAATTTTCCGGATCCCCCCAACAGTTATTTGCTACGTGATGGGGTTGCTGACACCATGCTTAACCCTTCTCCTTTACCCGGGCTTGTGACCGGCACTAACCCTAGGTCTACAGGCGGAGTTAAATAAAGTAGTAGCAATAATAAAAAGAAAGACCATACCCTGAGAATGTAGTTTGAGAAGACAGAATGGAAAGGTATGTGTGGAAGAATACTAGAATTCGAGATCGAGAGGGAGATAAAGAATTAACGCGTCTGAACTACTGTGAACGATTCTGAGCCATGTCTTGACAAAAGACAATTGTAAGATATAACAACAGTACCTTATTAGTCGAAAAGAAAGTGGTGTAACTAATTCTTAATTTTTGATAATGGAGCAAAACTGGATCAATAAGCCAAGAGAATCATTATTGGTGTAAACTTTCTATTTCCTTCGAACTTAAGGGACAGAGATTGAAAGGCGCAGTAAAACTTTTAGTAAACGCTAAAGGCTTACAAATTTAATCACTAGCTCAGAATAATAACAATTCCTAGACTCCTATCACTTCTGTCAAATGTTATGTGATACTAGATACAAGAAAACGATGTTTTTTCACGTTTATGAAAATATAATACACACATTTGGGGTAGCAATCTTACCTCTGTAATTCTATATGCTCTTTCAGCGGTGCATTCAGATTTCGAAGTTGGATTGCTCAGCGAAAATATAATTGGCCGTTCAGAATTTTTAATCATTTGTTGAAGGATAGCATCTGTAAAAATTCCACCTTGCCCGGATGCACCTGTAACATGGTACCCAGTAAATGAAAGTAATAAATAGTTTGTATAGCATTAAATGAAAAAGTCCCGTTGTGAAAATCAATGACTATATTTCTTACATATGTGTATTTAAAAATCATACTAGAAAAACAGGCAGCCATGTAAATGATATCCACGCCGAGGTAGCGTGGAATGATATCCGAAAAGCTGTGAAAACAGCAGTGATATCTGCTAGTAAGGTAAACCATAAGGTGAGGAATAAATGCTGGATCTCAGCAGCGTCTACCGCATTGATAGATGCTCGAAAACTCAACCCATCTGGCTCCGAATATGACGAAGAGCGGAGTCAGCTTATGTGCAGGCTGACAAGAAGCCTACGCAATGATCGCGAACAGTGGTGGGTAGCGAAAGCAAGAGAGATGGAAAAGGCAGCGGCAATAGGTAATAGCAGACAATTGTTCAGACTTGTTAAGGAAACTGACTGTTAGCGAAACTACCTCGGGAAAAGATGGACATATTATTCACTCTCAATACAGGAGATTGGATCGATGGGTAGAACACATTAGGGATCAGTTCAACTGGCCTTTAGTCGCACTTCGGTTTCCCACGATCCCCAGTCGACCTGAATGGCAAGTTAATGTAAGTCCTTCAACTCCTTACGAAGTTGGAAAAGCTATAAGAAATCTGAAGCGAGGGAGAGAAGCAGGTTCTCACAGGTTTACCCCTGAGATTTTTAAGGATGACGGTTCAGTATTAGTAGCGAGATTGACTGAGGTCCTAGGTAGAATCTGGGAAATGGACGTAATCCCATCTGACTGGTCTCAATCACTGATTGTGCCAGTCTATAAGAAAGGACAAAAGTCCTCTTGTGACAATCATGGAGGAATCAGATTGACTAATATAGTGTTTAAAATATTAGCTTCAATAATACTTCGACGCCTAAATAAAGCTCGTGAAGAGCAGATTAGAGAAAACCAGGCTCGTTTTCGACCAGGACGTGGCTGTATAGATCAGATATTCACACTACGTCAGGTCCCAGAACATAGACACACGTTCAGACGTCCCACAATAGTAGTATTTCTCGACCTTAAGGTGGCATTCGACTCTGTCGATCGTAAGGTTCTATGGCAGTGTTTGTCACTGAAAGGAGTACCAAAGAAGTACATTAACCTTGTAAAGGCTCTCTACTCGAACACAACTGGTCGAGTGAGAGCTAATGGCGAACTGTCATCAGAATTGATTACCTCAAGTGGTGTTCGTTAGGGCTGTTTACTCTCTCCATTCTTGTTTAACTTTGTAGTTGATGTACTTTTAGAGATAACACTTTTCTCATCTACATTTACAGGAGTTGAACTTTTACCAGGAGGTTAACTTTTTGACTACCCGACCGTTGTTGCTACCTTGACTTGGTGGTCGGGCTTGCCTATCGTGATGAAGCAACCGAGCTATACTGGCTGGAACAACCGTTCCTCAAGATCCTACCATGTCAGACAGGTCGGTTGAAGAGCGGTAAGACTAAAAGCAACAAACCCAAGGTCCGAAGGCGAAGTCGTACTGCTGACTGTACAGAGGTGTGACAGCAGTAAGGTGTTTCCTTCAGACAACCAGCATGACAGCGATGCTGCCTTCCCACAAGGAGGGGTGGGGTTAGGGAAGGTCGACCCTAAAAATGTCACACCTCACTTTATACCACGGATATCCGTCTACGGCGGTAAGGTCTCAACAAGTACGGAGCTAACACGTCAAAAAAACCCCACGAAAAGGCCGAGCGCGACCGGCCTCAAGCAGTTGTCCCTTGGGCACTGCGGTCATGCTCTCAAGTCACTGAGACCGCCTCTAATCCAATTTCCTTTTCAGGTACCTCCAGAAGAACCCTTCCACGGTGTGGGCAACCGGGAAGTGATAACCGCCCTCATACCTCTAACAGCACCCAAGACCACTGTATTCATAATCAACTTTCCTCTTCAATTCCTATTATTCCTTCTACATCGACTTTCAACTCTAAACTTCCTCTTTCGGCTTCCTCCTCAAGTGTCACCATAGCCAACGATTCTAGTGCTCAAAACTCTGTCCCAGGTCTACTGAAACCTCGCTCCAAACTACACATTGGAGCTTTCAACGTACGCACTCTATGTCAAATCGGTCAGCAGGCTTCCTTCGCTAAAACCCTAGAGTCTCTTTCCATTGATGTATGCTGTGTCTCCGAAACACGCATACAGGATTCCAGTGTGGTTATTCACTTGACCTCACCTCGGCAAAACGGAGAGCCAACGAGATACACCCTCCGTGTATCTGGTGACCCGATGGCAAGTTCTCGTGGACTGGCAGGTGTAGGCATAGCACTAAGCATGAGGGCCGAACAAGCACTGCTAGAGTGGATCCCCGTCAATAGTCGTCTATGTGCTGTTCGGCTAAACGACTCCGTAAGAACTCGGAAGGATAGGGACACACGTCGTCGCCTTTTTGTCGTTTCTGCCTACGCTCCCACTGACTGCAGCTCAGATGAAGCGAAAGATGAATTTTACAGAAAGCTTTCTGAACTTCTTCAGAAAGCTAAACGCTCAGACATAGTACTCATAGGGGGTGACTTTAATGCTCAGATAGGTAGCTTAAACCAAACAGAAAGGCATTTAGGTGGATATTTTAGCATTCCGGCACAGCGAACAGATAATGGTGACCGTCTGCTGCAACTGTGCTCAGACAATCGCTTATTTTTAGCAAACACAAATTTTAAGCATAAAAAGAGACATCGTCTAACATGGCGACCCCCTACACCAAACCAACGATGGACTCAAATAGACCATATTGCCATCAGTCATCGTTGGAGAGGGTCGGTAGAAGATTGTCGCTCATTCTGGAGTACCTGCTTGGACTTCGACCACGCCCTAATACGGGCACGCATCTGCTTGGGCCTCACTGGACGCAAAAAAGCCACAATAAAAAGACCCATTAGAACTGAGTTGAGTAACGAGAAAACCAAAAATAAGTTCCAAGAACAACTGAGTTCACAATTAGGTAGTTCTGAAGACGAGGCTGACCCAGATGTTGCTTGGAAAGACATACAAGCAGCTGTGGAAACAGCAGTGACATCTATTAGCGACTTAAACCACAGAGTTTCAAAGAACCAGTGGATTTCTTCAAAGTCTATCACACTGATGGATTCTCGCAAACTCGTCCCATCAGGTTCCGAACATGATGAAGAGCGACAACAAATCATATCTAGGTTAAGAAAAAGTCTAAGAAACGACCGTGAGCAGTGGTGGGCAATGAAAGAAAAAGAGATGGAAAAGGCGGCGACTATAGGGAACACAAGACAGCTTTACAGACTAATAAAAGAAACTGGAATTAATAAGACAAGTGTAAGTGAGATTATATCGGAAAAAGACGATACTCTCATCTGCTCCCAGTCCAGACGTTTAGAACGATGTTCGGAACATTTCAGAGAACAGTTCAACTGGCCTTCAGCTACTCTACAACTACCCTCCATTCCCAGACAATGTGAATGGAACATTGAAGTAGGTTCCCCAACTCTTGCTGAAGTCCAAAAGGCTATAGTTAACCTGAAACAAGGAAGGGCAGCTGGTCCAGATGGATTGGTTCCAGAAGTCTTTAAGGATGGTGGTCTAATTTTAGCGATTAGGTTGACTAATATTTTAGCTAAGATCTGGGAGTCAGACGTAATCCCATCTGACTGGCCGCAATCACTTATCGTCCCAATATATAAGAAAGGGTCAAAATCATCCTGTGACAACCACAGAGGGATTAGTTTAACTAATATAATATTTAAAATACTAGCCTCGATAATTATCAGACGCCTAACTAAGACTCGTGAACTGCAAACACGAGAGAACCAAGCTGGCTTCAGACCTGGTCGTGGCTGCATCAACCACATATTCGCCATTCGTCAGGTTCTAGAACACAGACATACTTATCGGCGTCCGACAATGGTGGTCTTTCTCGACTTAAAGGCACCATTTGACTCTGTAGACCGCGAGATTTTGTGGCAGTGTCTGTCACTGAAAGGCGTACCCCAGAAGTACATAAACCTTGTAAAGGCTCTTTACTCGAACACTACTAGTCGAGTCAGAGCTTATGGCGAACTGTCATCTACTTTTGTAACCTCAAGTGGTGTCCGTCAAGACTGTCCACTTTCCCCATTTTTGTTTAACTTCATCATAGATCTACTGATGGAAATAACTTTCTCGTCGACTGAGTTCTCGGGTATTGATCTCCTACCAGGAGGTCCACTTATCGACTTAGAATACGCAGATGACATAGTCCTGTTTGGTGAAGACGCTGACAAAATGCAGAGTCTTCTGGTAGCACTGAGCAACAATGCCAGAATGTTCGGAATGCGCTTCTCTCCCTCTAAATGCAAGTTGTTGCTTCAGGACTGGTCTGCGTTAACACCTGAACTAAGGATAGGGAGTGAAGTAGTCGAACGCGTTGACAACTTCACTTATCTTGGAAGTCTGATCAGCCCTAATGGGTTGGTGTCGGACGAAATCTCAGCACGGATTCGAAAAGCTCGTTTGGTTTTTGCCAACTTACGTCACCTGTGGCGAAGGCGAGATATCCGTCTATCAATAAAAGGACGAGTATACTGCGCGGCAGTCCGTTCTGTTTTAATTTACGGCAGCGAAACATGGCCATTAAGAGTAGAAGACACTCGTAAGCTATTAGTTTTTGACCACAGATGCCTTAGAAATATTGCTGGCGTCTGCTGGGATCACCGGGTAAGTAATAGTGAGGTTAGACGCATGGTATTAGAAAATGATGGTAAATCAGTTGATGAGGTTATGAATCTTCATGGACTGAGATGGTTGGGCCACGTGTTACGTATGCCTGAATACCGATTACCACGACGTGCAATGCTATCCAGTATTCGAGATGGTTGGAAGAAAGTTAGGGGCTGCCAAACCAAAACGTGGCATCAGTGCTTGAAGTCACTAACTTCTAGTCTGAGCCATGTTGGTAGATGCAGACTACTTGGTTGGGGTCCGCGTGACTATCGTAACCAATTGTTGGAGACTCTTGGTGACATGGCTCAGAATCGATCACAATGGTGTCGGTGTATACACTCCCTGTCTTCCCTTAAACTAAGAGATTAAAATCGCTTCATATCTTTCTTTCTACGAAACAATTTTTTCTTCTTGTACTATATCTCTATATGAAATCTTTCACTTATATATTACCACCTTTGACCTAACCACTGCTATGAATCCGGTGTTAATCTTGTTGTGCTGATGCGGTATGGCGACCTGGACCGATGCACATATGTGCCTGGCCCTACGTTGTAGCTGATTGACTGACTGACTTTTTGACTTAGAATATGCTGATGACAGTTCTATTTGGTGAAGACGCTGACCACCATAAGCAACAATGCAAGCATGTTTGGGATGCGGTTCTCCCACTCGAAATGTAAAATGTTGCTTCAGGATTGGGTTGCATCGACACCCAAACTAATGATAGGGAGTGAAGTAGTTGAGCATGTTGACCGCTTCACTTATCTTGGGAGTCTCATCAGTCTTTGTGTTCCGATGTGTGACGAAATCTCAGCAAGGATACAGAAGGCTCGACTAGCTTTTACCGACTTGCATCATTTATGGAGTAGGCGAGATATCCGTCTACCAACCAAAGGATGGGTTTACTGCGCAGCAGTTTGTTCCGTCCTACTTTATGACAGTGAAACATGGCCGGTAAGAGTAGAGGATATCCGTAGGTTACTAGTATTTGATCATAGTTGTCTTCGAAGCATTGCTCGTATATCCTGGGACCATCGAGTAAGTAAGGCAGTTGTTAGGAAACGGGTACTAGGTAATGATGGCAAATCGATTGATGAAGTAGTGAAAATTCATCAATTGAAATGGCTGGGACATGTGCTACGTATGTCCAATCACTGGCTGCCTCGACGAGTGATGTTTTATGGTGTAGGAGAAGGTTGGAAGAAAACTAGGGGCAGCCAGACCAAAACATGGCACAAATCCATGAAGTCACTGACAAGTGGATTGAGCCATGTTGGTAGGTGTAGACTACGTGGTTACGATTCGTGAGATGATAGCAACCGATGGTTAGAGACCTTGAGTGATATGGCTCATAATCGTTTGCAATGGCGCAGGTGAGTCCACTCTTTGTGTTCTCCAAAATTCTAATCTTCTGAATTCTTCATGTCCTTTTCTTTCTCTTTCCAGATTTACTTCACTGTATATACTCCTATATATACTATATATACTCCTTGATAACATCTTCGAACCCTAATCTTTCAGATTATTGCTTATAATTTTACTACCTCTACCATTATGGGGTTAGAATCGACAATTGCATCTCTGTGCCAATTCGGTATGACAACTTGAGCTGATGTACGTAAGTACGAAGTTCTACGTTTTTGCTGACCGAATGATTTAAAAATCACAAGAAGTGATAGATGGTACGAATAAAGGATTTCTAAAACTAAAATTCGCATACCTAAGTTTTGGTGACTAGTACTGGATAGAAACAAAAACCTCCAGCGTTAAAAAAACTTACAAATTAGCTTGTAGACATCAAACAAATTATCAATTAATTTATTGTCGCACTATACAGGAGAAACTTTACTCAACCATATCGAGTTGATAAAACATGATTATCTGAAAAATACTTAAGAAAACTGAAAAAAACTTTTGGTAAATTCTAGACTATATTGCCACACGAACCCATACACAAAGCTACATGAGTTTAACCGGACCACACTGCACAGAATCAGACTGGTCATACTGGCATCAATAAAAAATTCAGAAGGTCAATGGAAGACATGCAAACAAAGACGAGCTGACGCAGATTCAGATCACCACCTGCTGATGGTCAGGATGAAACTGGAGTTAATTAAGCATCAGACGATTGAGCGAGCAACACCATCAAAGTTCCAAGCCTTACGAGATCTACCGAAAGAAGAGGAAACCAACACGGAGAACAACTGGAAAGGAATTAAACAACAGACAACTTCAACAATCCAGGTGCTGGACTTCAACAAGCACCAGGATCAAGAATAAATCCCTATAGATATCATGAGCAAGATTCGAGGAAGATAAAACGAGAAAATCACATTCAACAACATCCGAACAAAAGTAGGGGGAATCAAGCTACAAACTGAATGTACAGAAGCAAACAAGCGGAAATGTGTCGAAAACCTGGCGACTACGGCAGAGAAATTTGAGAGGTGGATGTATGAAAGAATTGTATAATACAAACAAGAAGCTTGTAGGGTAATATGGTGGAACACAGCAACTAGTCAGGAACAGAGAAGGAAAACCAATAGCTGTGGTTCAAAATCAGGGGAGCAAGTGGGTAGAACACTTTGAAAAGCCCTCCAATAGGTCAGTTCCACTGAACTCACAAAACATCGAAGCAATACACACAGACCTCCTTATAGATATTACACCACCAGCAATCGAAGAAATCAGGATATTCACCAGACAAATCAAGAGTGAGAAAGCAGCTGGACCAGAGAACATCAGCTGAAGCACTGAAGTCAGATATCAAGAAAACTGCAAAATTGTTCCACATTCTCTTCAGGAGGATTGCAGAGGAAGAACAAGTACCAACAGACTGAAAAGAAGAATACCTTATCAAGATATCGAAGAAACGAGATCTTAGTAAGTGATCTTCATTAACATACAGAAATACACAAACATGTCACACGGAAATCACCCTGACCGGAGTGACATGACAATAGCTTGGTCCGCTGTTTTTAATTGGTTGTACTAGATATTTCCGCTTTGTTCCTTCGTATTATTTAGACTCAGGCTAATGAATAAATTAATTTATTCTCTGAAAAGTGGCTTACACTGAGTCACGGGAAATCAGGAATTTTATTTTATACTCATTTAAATATTAGAAATGCCATTATTTTCACAACTAACAATCTACCTGATGCTTTATTTATTTAAAATTATCAACCCAAACCTTGATAATGATATCTAGATTCTTTTAATGTCACAAAAAGTATTTTAATTGATCAATTGTAGTTGAAGTTAGACATTAACACCGTTGGATGCCGGCTCAGTGGTCTAGTGGTTAAGTGCTCGCGCGCGAAACCAGTAGGTCGGGGGTTCGAGTCTCGCAGGGGGCGAGGTCGTGGATGCGCACTGTTGAGGAGTCCCAAAATAGGACGAGACGGCCGTCCACTGCTTCCAGGTTTTCCATGGTGGTCTAGCTTCAACTGACTCATGATCTTAACCATTGAAATTACTATAATATCCACAAAACCCATCCGAATTGTATATTTCCTTCAAAACTATAATTAACATGAGGGTGTGTAAATTAATTATTCATTAAAAGAAACTAACACACGCAAACAATTCCCAATAATAATTCTACTAAATGAAAACAAATGACAACCACCTGAACCTCCATACTTAACACTTTTCATTAGGCTATGGAAACCACTAAATAATGACTATCAAGCCTGCCTTGTTAAATAAATATGCCAATGGCGAGAAATTTTTGAGGCCCATTTATATCATGATAACGTATAAATAGCTTACGTTGACAATTCCATGTAAGCATTTTACAAGTGTAGTGTCGATATTCTGAACAGTTTGTTACCCATAAGAAAGTGTGTTAAGCATACAGTATACAACTTGGCATACAAAACTATGTTTAGCTGGGTTTTATATCACTGTTATAATTTCATCATATAGTTTACCTTATAATATGGTTAATGTAATATTTATTAATTTAAATGTAAACAGTACACTACAAATACAAAAATAAACAAATGAAACAATGGTCTAATGGACAGAGCACATAAAGTGGTGGATTTATATACAGTTAGGAATTTAAGACTGAGAATATTCAGAAAACGCGTGTTAAGTTTCATCATTCCACCAGTTTGTTTACTTTATCGATTAGACGAATCCAAAGAAAAGTTAACGATGGAACTAAAGTCAACAATAATTACTTGGTTATCACAATGTGTAAGTGATATAGCGGGCTACACATTGAGTTTGAAGGTCGGTGAAACAGAGTCCCGAGTAGGAGCAATCTAGAGACCGAAAATCATAACAACTGAGTCCCAGACATACACAAACAGGTGTCTGTGAGGTACTCAGGAGAATCAGATTAAAATATTAAAATAGCTTTAGTCGATATATATATAGGAACATAAGAAATCCATTAAAGACAATAAATCAGCAGAAATAACATACCAATAATAACTGTTGGCTTTAGTAATTTCACTGCATCTTCCAGTTTACATATATTTTCTGTGTCGTCACGCGCAAAAACTTTATTATGATCTGTCAGTGAACCTTCTTGGCGTGACTGGATATTATGGAAGTCAAAGCAACAAAAAATTATTATCTACGAGGTTCAAAAATTATAATGTTAAGGAAAAAAAAGATTTTTTTATTTGTAGGGAATAATTAAGCGCCTTTTTTCCTATTCTTTCAGATGTGGTAACTGATTAGTGACTTTTAAATCCAAGTCACAGAAGACTTATTTTCTTATTGTAAGTCCTTGGAACGTGGTGTTCTTAATAAAAACTGACGAATATGTGTAAATATTACATAGAGAAGATTATAACCAAAATAAAAATCAGTTGGTCAGTCGTGATAAACGCATAACCTGGAACAAATATGGATTAACTCGAGTTAGCATACAAGTAATTATAGTGAGGGATATATTCACTATTCAAAAAGACTATAATAGAAAAATTTCTGTTGATAAATAGATAAGACTTGAATTTTTTAAATCCTAACTTCATTTAGGATCGGAAAGTAAAAAGAGCATGAAATTTTATTAAGCTGTTTAATACAAACTACAGGAATCGTACGTGAGAAGTGTAAGATTACACTTTGAAAAAAGATTTCGTACACTATATAACAGTGATGAGTAATGCAAAAGATTACGGGAGACAAGGTACGTATTCTTTATCTGACGAATAATAGACGTGAACACGGAGATTTACTTACTTGGGACAGCGCTAATTAGGAGAAACTGAAAGAGTTGTTTCTTTTTTAGTGTGATAATTAACCCAAGTATTAAATGAAATATATAGGATATCAGAGAGCGACTCAACAGGTTCAGTAGCAATTTCTCCCTAGTCTAGAATAAAGTTCATAATCTCATTAGTGCTTAAACAGTAGTGATAATTGGAAATTCATTATCACGCAAAGGCAAATTATTGTTCGAATTATTTAAGATGATATTTTAACATGAGACAATCTCTATTATGGTTACTGCAAAATATTTGTAGATTATGATACGAAAGCAATGATGGCAATGTGACTTAAGAAGAGAGCTCTTGTTATAGATGTTTCTGTGGCCCTTATGACTTTCGCCTACCCCCACAAACAGTCACTGTATGCGCTAAAACGACCGATAGCTGGCGTAACAGTCTCATTCACACCCAAGCCCTGGTCAGAAAACCAGGATACCTAGACAAGTATCACGCATTGTCATGTTTTATTCAGATTTAAAAAACTGATGTGATTATATACATCAAGTACAAGACCATAACAAATAATAATAACTCAATATGTGCATAACTAGGGCGTTTGTGGTACGAAACTGTGATAGGAATCTGACTTTCTTACTGTATTTATTTTTACACATACTCGAATAAAGAAGTTGAATTGATGAACAAATATCCGTAATGTGGACTTGAATAAACCAATATGATAAAATAACCAAAATAAAAAGGGCGAAACCTTTAACAACAGTAGCAATAACAGAAACAAGGAGATTTACATGTGTTAATAATCCGTCTTTATCGAACATATACATTTTACTCAGGGCCTCTTTCTCATCCAATCCGTTTAGTTGTAATGATGTTGCCAGTAACTGAGCAATACCGGTTGCTGCCTATTTGATAAGAAAATAGATAAATTGAGAGGTACATAATAGATTATTTTACATGAAACTGTTTAAACAGCGATAAGGGGTCTGTTTTGTAACCGAAATCGATCGAGAAATTACATCTCGTAATAAAATGACCTAAAGAAGATGAATTACCTATAATATATTCTGTGAAACATATTCACAGGAATATTTAAGCGAATAATTGTTTCCAATAACTTAGTCATCAGCCTCTATGGTTACAAATCCGTAACTATTGTGTTACAATGGACAAGTCAAAGAAAACATGAAGAAATGGACTAGATAATGCTATATACTATTTATGTACGCCTTATTTTGTTCATTTTAATACAATAATTACGGATTAATAACTATAGAGCTTAATGACTAAGTTATTGGGAACCATTGTTCGCTCATATGTTCTTTGTTTTTGAATATTTACATGAGGTCATAGAAATGTGTGCACATACTTACTAAGCGTTGTAGATAGAGAAAACATTAATCAATATAACAATTTATGTTTCATTAACTAGAAGCTAATGGAAAAGAATATTATATGGATAATTAAATGACATAAACTTGTTTGTTTGTATATTTCACTCGAATAATACTAGCGAATTCTTCAGAAATCATAAACTCCTATGTCGTGTGTCTCACGAACGACAACATATCCTACTACTGGTGACAAGAAAATTGTTGCCTGATCAGAATTAGGTGGGACAAGGATTGAACTTATAGTTCAGTGGTTGAAGATCAACTGAATTAACTATCAAGTCAATACAGCAGAATAAATGGACAGAACCCTGGGTATCCTTAAAGATTCATGTAATGGACCATTTACTTGTTAAAATTTCCACTGTGTGCATTTCACGACAGTCAATTTTTATGAATATTTCAGTATTTTGATTATCCATTTAGCAAGTATATAAGCTAAGAAGCTACGCTGTAATCTATATACACATGTTTTTCCAAAGTTTTAGTATTTGAGTGAAAATACTACCATAATTGGTGAGTTTAAAACTAACATAACCTGACAATGAAATTATCACACTTAAAAAGTCATTCATTAATATTAAAATAGACATTTGCAAAATCATACTTAATTTTAACAGGATATGATACATCGTATGTTTTATTAGTTAGTATCTTTATCATGTACATAAGTTGAACTTTAAGATACCTATAATGAAGTCAATGTTTTTAAAAACAATATGATATACGGGTTTACCATGCTATGAATATATAAAAGGCTTGAAATTCAATCTATAGAAAAAAACCAAGCTGTTTTATCATTAGGCTAATTTTGACAGGATGTCAGTTTGTAAGGATAGCATAAAATCCTATTAGCACAGGACGTTGTGAAGATTGGTGAATCTTGTAGTTTTATATCACGAACTGACTTTATTTAGACAATGACTGAAAACTGAGAATCAAACTGGTAGTTTCACTGGTTGTCATTAGTTATTTAAATGAGTAAATTCCGTGATCTAAAATTAAAAGTGGAAAATTCATTGAAATACTAATTGGTGTACACTAATGGTGAGATACTTAATGCTTAAAAAAAAGACGATAATCTGACTTGCCTATCATTTTGTTTACACATTCGACGGGAGGAAAAGCACAAGACAATAATGATACGGAAAAGAGACTACGTAATAACGGCTTATATTGAGAAATAATACTTGTAAAACATATAATCTATCTTGGTAACCAAATATCGAAATTTTAAAACATTGAATATATATAACATATATGTATATATCCAACAAACGGTAGTTGATATACTATTGTGATTACTCAACACATGGGAAAGATAAAAAAGATTCATACTTACTTCACCAGCGCCGACGAAAAGATATATATTATCTGTAAGCTTACGCTTTGTAATACGACCGGCAGCCAGTAAGCCGGCTACCGCTACAGCTGCCGTACCTGAACGTCGCAAACAACATGAAAAATATGCAAAATTTAAGCATATTTTGATGACTGTTATTCGCATATCACTGAAATACTTAAAGGACTAATATATTTCGAAAGTATAATTAGAATACTAATTTATCTTACACTGATATACAGAAAGTTTAATTTTCAGATCATTTCTGTATGCTTATGTTGAAAAATAATAATCCCAGTGGTTTTATGATGTCAGTATATAGAAACACTCAAAGTCGAGAAACTAAACAAAAAGTTAATCAGGATTAAATTTGTAAATTGGATATTTGAGTAAAAAGAAAGAACACTCAATATATGTTAAAAGTGAGCACCGAGGTTATGAAAACTCGAAAAATACCGAGTGGGAGTCTATAGCAGCGAACATGGTTTCTAAAGCTCACAAAATAACACTGGTTTAATTTGATCAAACATACTAAATATACCAATAAAATATAATCACTAGAAAATATGAACAAAGTATAAAGCAGGTCCTACCTAGTTTTGGCTGCAAGTAGTTTTGTTCACTTTTATTCATCTGAACACAAAAATAGGTACAAAGAGGCACCAAACAGATATGCGCCACATAAATCACTCGATTTATGTGAGGGCTGAGGTACTGCCCGGGTGCCCAAACCGAAGCAGATGGTTTTCTTAAGGGGACCACCCCCCGAGCCTTTGACCAAAAAGTATAATCCACAAGGCGGTGAAGCAACGTTAGGAGATGCAGTCCCATGGTAGTCGGTGACCAACAATATGCTCATACGCCATTTGTTCCCTCAGGATCCTGGAGCCCGTGTGTACCATTGGTTTGGAATCAGGATTTTCCAATTCCCCTAGGTGGAGCCTCCGTGTCCACCAACCCGGTTAAAATGTCGGACATTCGCTTTTTGTCCTCTTAACTTCGTAAACAACACACCCACCGCGATAAGACAATAGCTGTATACACGTGACCACTTAAGAGCATTTCGAGAGGGAGAGCTGACTCTTTCTACCCTCAGTTGTACCAGGGCATTCACATTGATATATAAATATGTATAATAATTTTTAGACAGTATGAAGACAAGATTTCTTACTAAAGAACATCAATTTTTCAAAGAACATTTACTAACTTACCTTGTATATCATCATTAAAAGTGCAGTACGAATCTTGATATCGTTCAAGTAAACGAAATGCGTTATGATTTCCAAAATCTTCAAATTGAACTAAACAATGGTTCCCGTAGCTGATAATACATGAAATAGTAGGCAATTATTGAGGCAATGCATTTAATATAAAATATATCTACAACTCAAAAAACTGTAGAACCACAATGGATATGACATTATTACAGTATTTTTTATGAACCTCACCGTTCTGTAACAGCTTGCATGAAATTTTCGATTAACTCATCATAGCGTTCATCGCGTATACGCTTATGTCTGATACCCGTATATACAGGATCCTACAGAAGAAGAAGTAATTGAAGTTGATATGTAACTAACAACAGTAATGCAAACAGATTTCAGTGATAATAGTAGGTAGATTATGTAATTTTTATCAATTTAGTGGTATTGTTACTTGACATAAAACAGATTTATTGATCAAGAAATATGTAGAAAAGTATTGGAGAATAAAGAATGTAACGAAAATCAAATGTCATTAATATGGCCTCCTACACACATATCACAATATTTTTGGAAATCTGAATAGTCTTCATAAAACAGTGGACAACTGGATAACAATAATAATAATTATTATTAGCTTTATTCATTATTATATTTTTGGTATGATATAATTCTCAGCACAAAGTATTTCAACAAGTTTCCGTTTCTCACTTCTTGGTTGATACTAAAGATAAATATTGAGTGATCGCCAGTTGAATGTTATCGACGAAGAATTCAATATATGCAAGGAACACTCACTCGATTTGTTCTCGGATCCCGGACCACATCGATACCGTGAAGCCGAATAAAATTTGAATCTTGTCCACGTACCGAATAGTTTGCATGCTTATAAAAGATTTGGTTTCGTTGGAAGGAGAAAAGCTGCAAAAGCTTCCTCATGGTGAAATACTTCATATAACGCCTAAAATAAAAAAATTTGCAGGTTTCCGAAAGCAGAATGCTTGATAAGGTTGATATGAATACAGAAAATTGATTTACATCAATCATTGCGTTCATCACAAAGTTAGTTGCTATGGTGGAAATAATTTATCTATTATTGGAATTCAAAGGTGAAATATTCCTGTGTCCACGCAATGGGGCGGCCAGACCAAAACATGGCACAAATCCATTAAGTCACTGACAAGTGGACTGAGCCATGTTGGTAGGTGTAGACTACGCGGTTGCGATTCGCGAGATGATAGCAACCGATGGTTAGAGACCTTGAATGATATGGCTCAAAATCGTTTGCAATGGCGCAGGTGAGTCCACTCTTTGTGTTCTCCCAAATTCTAATCTTCTGAATTCTTCATGTCCCTATTCTTCTATTTCCAAATTTATTTTATTAGATTACACTCCTTGAATAACATCTTCAAGCCCTAATCTTTCCGATTACTGCTTATACTCTAACTACCTCTACCACTACGGGATTTGAATCGACAACTGCATCTCTGTGCTAATGCGGTATGGCAACTTGAGCTGATGTACGTACGTACAAAGGTCTACGTTGTTACTGAATGACTGACAACGTAATGGGAGTTAAATGTTGGCCCGAAAATCAGCATTTATTAGAGATCTGAGCTTTTCATTTAAGAAAACAATACAAATTAACCTATTAAAATCTATACCACCCAATTAACATGCTTTATACAAATCTATGGGTTCACAGTTACAATGTTAGTGGCGAAGGAATTTGAAAATAGAATATCAACGAATAGTGGGGATTAACCTGTTAAACCCGAAGAAAGTAGTCTGAAGAAAACATTGGGTGTAGAAAAAATCGTTAGAAAGCAAGTCAATGATCAACTAAAGCCACACAGCTAGAAAACTAATGGGAAAATCTGAGGGCTATTTTAGCTAGCATTTCAGTACTTCGTGCTGTTATTAACATACATAGACAAGGATTGGGATGGTCCATATAGAAGTGCTATGTGTGGAAAACCAGAGAACCGTCAGTAAAGTAACATCTAACCTGGTAATAAGTATGGCTGTTGATCGATAATGAAATCCCGGAAGCCGACTAGTTACTGTCATTTTGTCAGAATCCTTTATTTATTTGGAACATGACAAAATGAAAATAAAAATTCACGTATATAAGGTTGCGTAGAAATATACTATTGTAACTTGTCAAGTATATTTATCATGCAGCGAAATGTACAGGTATAACAACTCACGAACTTTCTAGTACAATATTGTGACTTAATTACCAAGTGGAGATGAATGTACTTTAGTTTGGATCATTAAGACTAATGACATTACGAAGATGGAGTTGCTTTATTTACTAGGTGTGTGGGTATGAATCAAACTGGAGTTGTGGAGGTTAGTGATACTACACGATTACCAAAACCGAGGGGTTGAATCTGGGACTTCGCAAGTGGAAGCTAAAAGCTCTAGCTACTACTCCACACATTGCCTGGATATATAAATCGAAGTAGGTTTAGTGAGTCTACTAATCTTTTAGAACAGATGACTTTGTAAGTTACCTTCCACTCAACGGTAAAATGAAATAGGACAAAACTTTTGTAACTAGCCGCTTCAAAAGCTTATACCTTACACCTTGACACGAAGTTTTGTCCACTGACACCATCGGATATAAATGTACTGCCCATAACATTTACCTGGACACTAAGAGAAGCCAACAGTTTGATGGGACCTAAATATGACAAAATTAAGCCAGCCAGAGGTTCAAAAATCTCTGTAGGCTGAACTTGCAAAAATATATGGTTTTGTTCTGGCTTTAAAAGCTGAATACACGGGAAAATATATGATAGGTTTAGTCTAGTGGAGTGGTGGCTTAGTTCGATGTTTTCGACGTTCCAACTAACTCGAACCAGGCATTTAAGGGGCACTAGTAACCCTATAGTGCGGTAAGGAACGCAACACACAAACTTATTCTTAGTAGCGATATGAGAAATTACAACAGGATATTACGGTGAACTAAGTAACAAAAAACGTTAGCTAATAAAGACTACATTTGAAACTTAGAAACGTGGTCTATTCATAGAGTGAATTCACTAGCCAAACTCGAAAATACTTGACTTATTGTCGAAAACATAACCAGACCATGTAAAGGTTAGTACTTATTACCGAAAATAACCTGTTTAGTAATGATTTCGCATACATTACGCTTTTATGTATAGTTTTGAAGTTCAAACACAATGAAGCCAAAAGTAAATAAAAGGTTACAAAAATGAATGCAATACTACCAAAAGAGCTTTGCATGATTACCTAGAATCACTAACATCTAATAACACGCCCGATACACACCCGAGACTTAAATCCAGCGCTTAAGACATAAGGAGCGCCTCAGTTATTACTATATATTTTCCATGTTTGTCAATTGAACTTTTCCTCCTCAGTTATTCCGTGTCCCCAGATCTTATTGAGACGAAAATATTTATGAATTCAGCATGTGAAATCAAATGTATCCACTACTTACTTGTCATCCTTCGTGGAGGAGCACAGGCCACTGACCAGCATTCTCCACTACATTGGATAAAAATAATATTTTGGTTTTTAAGTTCTTGAATTTGCTGCAAGTGCCTTTGCGTCTAAATATTTGGCTATATTCTTCCAAACACAATACAACATTTTGCTGAGTTGTTCCAGCCATAAAAGAGATGTCCTTCAGATTATCAACTGTGAAGTTTTTGCACTCACAGCGAAACCTAGGCTTAATACAGCGATAGGCGAAAACGGTAAAATTAAATTTCTTCCCTACGTTGCAGCCGCCTATCTTTTTAAGAAACTACTCCCTTCCAGTGGTAAAGGTATGCTCATGTGTTCAGTAGTTAGCCATGTGTAAATGTGGATAACCATTAGTGACGCATCATGCAAATGTATGGCTGTAAACATCATTACTCATGATGCCATGGTCCCCTTGCTACATGCATTTTTTGAAAGCAGCGATCGCATTCATAGACTTTTCGTATTAAAATATCGACGACTTCTTTATAAATTTGTCTTAGCCTATAACTGAAAAGTCCTCAATTATTAATACCTTTACCAGCAGAAAGATCGTCGTTGTAGCCACCAATTGGCTTATTAATAAGAAAGAAAGATCAGGAAAAAAATGGTTATCACTCCTGACTTTCTGTAGAGAAGTAATTAAACGACAGCCAGATTATTTGTACGAATCTGTGAACAGAAATGCAAGCTGAGTACAGCCCGGTGGGATATCCTAAATTTAGGCGATTAGAAACTTCAACTTCCCCCAGTTCTCAGTTCAGCCTGTTATCTATATAACTGTTCATGAATAGGTTCAACGGAAATAGAGTCTCTGTCGTCAGTAAGTTTCAATACCCAGTAACAATGCTATTTCTGATAAGTTTCATTTGAACTTTTATCAGGTCCCGTAGATTATCAAGGATAAATATAAACATAAAAAATTGTCAGCGGAGTCTGTAGAGTTGTATGTGAGTACGAAACAAATAAGGGTACTGTTGGAAATATGTGTAACAGATTATCGTGTTAAACGATTTATCAGGGGACTAGCCGACATATTGAAGAAAAGACGTAAGTACGATTCTGTCTGTGAACACTTGCTTCTCGTTTTTAGATATCGTCACCTACTCTGCTATATCACTGCAGGTTTCAGAATATTGGATTACAAATTTTTATTAGTTATGTTACAAAAAATCCATAATCGTTCATTGCTGTTGTTGGACAACTCCATTAATGAAAACTCTACTTAACACCGAAAACCCTATTATTTTGAAAATTACCCTTAGTGTAAATATTGTTTGCTAAAACCACCACTAAACTTCTCACTGGTTTGGAGTACGTTGATAGCAACTAGATGTAGCGGGTAAACGATGATATCCATGAATACCTCGTTTGAACGAAGCTTTCTTCATTTATTTTAGTGACCCTTTCACTATTTTACTAAAGATTACAGTTGAAGACAACTTGTACTCATTTGCAACGAGAACGCCTGGCCTTTTCCTCTATATCGATGGCACTGACAACTGTATGTGTAAACACTGGCTATACATAGTTCTCACTTAAACCATTATGTTATTTATGGTCGAAAGAGCATATAATTTACTTGGTTTGGAGAACTAAAGGCTAACTTCCGAAATATACAGTATACTGGTACGTTACGTTTTGCTAAAAATTAAATACTTCAATTGTTAAGAATGGAGAAACCTAGACAACTCAATTTAAATTCCTGGGAAAAGTAAAGGAATTTTTGTTAGCTTTCAGGAAACGTAGAACGATGGATGTTAATTTTAATGGATAGTAGGCATTTTGTGGAAAGTAAAAGTGCTGCACTAAAGATATTTTCATTCACTAGGAAATTTTGGGACAAATACGACTGTTTACCTCAGGCTTAGAAAAAACGCGATATTTGGATACATCGTCACTTAAATTCACATGGACGTTTCTCAGATATCATCCCGAAAGTTCAACTTTATTTCCCTTTTCTGTCCGTAATCTTCAGGAAAACTGATGCGTGGACAGTGCGAAGTGGCTTAACATGAGGTGTAATTGCATTCTTTTAGGAATGTCCAGCAGATATGGGCAAATAATATGAGGGTTAATAGTGAATCGAAGAGGCTGATATTTCAATATAGTGAAGAGCACAATTTTATGTTTATTTTAATGATAATCATGATTGTCTTTCATATGCACCGATACTTCATATACTGAGTGAAGAAACAGAAGATCATATTTAATGAGCTTTTATTTCTTCTAGCAATGGTTGACTGATGTCTATGTATATGAGACAAGTAGAAAATTTTAAATAAATTATTATGAGACACTATTTCGAGTTTTTGAGAATATTTGAAGTACCCTATTCAGAGACTCTTGGGAATTTGAATGAACCATGTCAGTTGGTAGTGAA